GTGGGGACGACAAAAAACATGATCATTGCTACTCATTATGGGGTTTTACTATAACAAAAATGTAAAACTGTAGCCAACATGAACTCAGTTTAGGGTTTCAGCACCCAGACTCGGACAAGCCTGGGCGAGGTTTCTGGCACGAGAACAAGAGCGTGGTGGCTCCCGGACTAGCACACTGAAGCTGAGGGTTTAGGATTTATAGGGGTGTTGAAATGTTTCGGGTTTTCGGTCTGGGGTTAGAGTTTCAGGTTTAGGGCTCCGGTTTCCGGGTTTGGGTTCAGGGTAGGATTTCGGGTCTAAGCCTGCCTTATATCGCTTGAGCTTGAGAGATTTGGGCCTAAGTTGAAGGCTTGCGGGCGTAGGCTGATGTTAGCGGGTTGAGGGTTTGCGCTTCAAGCTTTTGGATGTGGGTGGGTGTCAAAGGGGTAGAGGGTTGCTGAGTGGGTATCACTCGAATAAGTATCGAAATCATTGGAGTATCGTGCGGGAAGTTCTTGCAAACAGCAAAAGAAGGCACAATCTTGGCGTGCTATGCATCTGCTTGGCTGAAGTTTGTCCTGCTTCAGCCTTTCGAAAGCCATGGTTGAGGTCCTAGGGTTGAGGATGCTACGGCTTGGGCTGAGTGGTTGTGAGCTTCTAGGGCGCAAACAGGGTTTGGATTTTACAGTCATGGGGAAACCTCACCCTTCGTAGGATGACTGTCTCCCACCAGCTACTACCTCCTTGCTTAAAGTTGAACTAAGAGGCATTTACTCTATCCCCCAAAAAAAAAACAGATCGGGTTCCCCGGGAGGGTAAGACTCAGACGTGCCTTGGACAGTTTTGTCCAGCTGCGACTTCATCTCCATGAGCTTCTCTTCGCGGAGGGCGATCATGTCATCTGTGCCAAAAAGAGGGACTTCAGAAAAACAACATATGGGTGTGTCTTTGAGGGAGGTTGCTTATAACAAGGGATCCTAGTATGCAGGGTCCATGTCCGTGGCTCTGACTTTTCTGAAGCTGATATGATGTTTATCTCTGTTTGGCGCAGGCCGATGCCCTGAAGTCTAATGATACCCGAAACCCTACAACCTCGAAGCCCGCATAATGAACTACTACTAATAATACATGATTATAATTTTCTTATGTTTTTTAAACAAATATTAATATACAAATAAAAAATACCATCCAAAGAAGCCCGAATCCTTCCAGCCCTAAGCCCTCCCCTGCCTGAAGCCCTGAACCCTGAATTCGCGCATCCTGCGAGCACTAGGAGTCCTGCATCTTAACTATGCGCGTGCCCTCAGCCTGATATGGGCCTCGATCTCTGGCATTCAACTTCAATCCCAAACCAAAATGTAGGGACCTGGTTATCTTCAAACACGTACCAAAAACAAACAGGCTTGGGATTCGGCACCTGGTCACCTTCTTGTCTCCTAGTCTCCACAGACCCACTGAAAGTTCATCGGGACATCCAGCGGGCTTGGGGCCCAGGGATTCAAGGGTTCGGGCTTCGACGACCTACTCCAAGCTTCAAGGCCGTACCCCCCCAACAACAACCCGAGGAAGATGAAACCACCACCCTAAAAAACAACAAACAAATGGCACAAAAAAAAAACAACACAAACCTCACAGAACCCGCCAATAGCACCTAAAAGACATCACCCAACACTAAATAAACCCTATAAACCCCAAGAGCCCTCTCCGGGCCCTTAACACCTGTTAACTTTGAGCCTTTGGGTTTTTTGGTTTAGGGTTTACAGCGCTTATAACCTCTCTAAAGACGCTAATAGCCCTAAGCCTTGTAACAAGGCAAGCGAAATCAGTCGAGCGACATTCCTCACCTAACGAGCTGTCGTGAGAATCCGAAGAGTTGCCTCACAGGGCTTTATGGGTCTTGTGAAGTTGAGGGGTTCACCTATTGGCATAAGGGTATTGTACAGATGTTGTAACGGTTCGTTTAAGCTGAAGGGTTGTGTAGATGTGCACGGATGTGTTGACGGTGTTCATCCTGACCCCGTGAATGGAATTCCATGTCCCTCCTATGTTCAATGACTGTGATTGCTATTCTTCTTCTTACTACTCTATATCGCGTGTCCTACATACTGTGTTGCCCCAACAAAGCCCCTGCCTGGGTCAGGTGTTACTGGGTTCTTGCTAAACGGTTTAATTTAAGTTACCAATAATTATAGGGATCTATGGTAATTGAAATGGCTTCCTTATTATAGAAACTTAGAGTTTAAAACAAATCCGTTAAGAAGAGACCAGGTTAAGCGCTAACCGGTTTAGGATTGAGGTCCTCGGGTCTTCCCGGACTCCCGGATATGTTTGGCATGCACAGTGCACTGTATAGATAGGGCTTTAAACCCTAAACCCTAAGCCCTAAGCCCCTAAACTTCCCTAAACCCTATCTAAAGTGAAGCTTACGGACTCGGGGATTGGGGTCTCCTGCAGCTTTGTGCTTGCATAGGTGGGACGAGGCTTTACGTCCGAAGGGTGTGTGTCTAGCTTTGGTTAGGGTTTAGGGTTTAGGGTTTAGGGTTCAGTGTTTAGGGTTTAGGGTTTATTTGGAGAAGTTGGGAACCTCTTTATTGGGGGCTCTGTATATGGATCGATCCGAACATTTTTTGGTGTTATAGGGCCGGGGTTTCTTCATGAGTTTCCTACAGTATAAGGTTTACCCATAGGCTCCATAGTAGATGAGGATTACAGTGTGAGGGTTGAGCAGGGCAGGGTCCAGGTTGAGGGTTGAGGGAAGCTCCAGAAACCCGTGCGGCCCGAAGTTCGAACGGGATCTAGCATCTAAAGAGCGGTCGCAATGATTTGTGATACAATACATCACTCTCATAGTCTGTGTATAGTCATGAAATATGACATACGGCACAACCCGGTTTCTCCTATTCCAGCTATTCAACCCCAAACCCTAAACCCTACGCCGTACTCAGAAAGAACCGAACCACTGAGCACTGGACAGATCCACACGAAGTGCTGCTGCTCCGAATGTGCCACACCCTCCATGCTAAACCTCGGGTTTGGGGTTTAGGGTATCTGAGCTCAAGCTTTGAGCGTAAACACTCTAAACTCTGGGCCTTCTGCGGGAAGTTCAGCAACCCAGGAGGGGGGGGGCGCTACGCATGCAATGTCAAAACAAGCTGACCGGGCCTGCACCCAAGAATGTAACTAAACAAACGAACACACATACACAGACATATATGCATATATACATATGTGTGCCTGTACATATATATATATATATATACATACATACATACATACATACACACGTACACAAACATACATACATACATACATCCATACATGCATGCATACATATTTCTATATATATATATATACATGGTCTTGGGATCTGGGATTCGGGATCTTTCTGCCGGCACCTCGGGCTGAAGGGCAGAGCCTGTGCCAACCTCCCCTCCGTCCCTCTAAGCTGGTCCTTCTCGTGCCACATAGCTATGCTCAAGTCATGTCGGCCGCTAGAAACTGCTAGAAGCCGGAAAAGGCATTGGTAATAACTATACTGTGCTGTTTATGTGCACGATCAAGACCATGAGCCACGAATATGGTCACAGTTATTGTCGTCATCCTAATCCTACGATGGTGGTGAACAGTCGCAGCAACGGCAGGTGTAACGGTAGCTGTCTACATGTAATTCCCTCTACAGGCATACCGAGAACACATCATACCTGCATCCGCGAATACTTATCGTCTCCAGTAAGCCGGGATTCTCGGACCTAATGTAGGGCCTTAATAATTAGACTAGAGTTTGGGGGCCCAGTCTACAATATTTATAAGGAACCCCCAAACAATAGTATTGGTAGCTACTTCGGGTTTAGCGCCCGAAGCGTCTTCATGACGAATCCTAACCTCAGAGAGAACTTGGGTTTAGGGTTTAGGGTTTCAACTTTGGAACCACACGGACATGACAAGACAACAAAACATACCAGTTTGGCTCAGTATGGGTGTCGATTTGCTGACGTATAGTCAAGGCGCCAGTCGCATTGAACCAAGCTGGACATAAAGGCTGCCTGCGAACATAGAGGCGTCTCTCAACCCTCAGCCCTTCACCAGCAGGGGAAAATACGGGGGCCATAATAATTATAATAGGGTCGAGGAAAGATTACAGTACAGTCTAAGTAGGCAACCCTTAATCCTGGACCCTGAACTAAGCCGCCGTAAAACCAAGAAGCATCCAACAAAAGCCTGAACCAGTCACAAAAAAAAGCCGGAAACCAACACCTGGGTCTAGGGTGTATAGGGCCCTACCCCTAAACCCTAAACCCTACACCACCCCTAAACCCTAAACCCCAAGAAAGCTGAATCAAAGAGGAAGCGTGCTATGGCCTGGCTCACCGCCAGGAGCACGGCCCAAACCCAATAGCTCAGGAATGGCAGGACCGGGAACATCGTCCTGTTAGGGTTTAGGGTTTCGGGTAGAGGGTTTAGGTTTGGGGCTTGGGGTCTAGGTGTCTGTGCCTCTGTCTGTGTGTGTGTGTGTTTGTTGAAGGGGCGGTGGAAGGGGATGAGGGTTCCAGGGCTGACCCTTTTTTTTGAACCCAGACCCTAAACCCAAAGTGTTTTCTCCTCATAGCGTGGCCTGGCGCCCAAAACTTGAGAGGGGCTTACCGCCCAGGTTGCTGCTTTAGGGACTTGAGGGTTCAGTCTGGGGACGTGGTTACGAGACCTGGTCCGACAAGTTAGGCATGTATGCACATATGAGACAGAGAGAGAGAGAGAGAGAGAGAGAGAGATAGAGCGAGAGAGGGAGAGCTAGGTGGCTTCAGCACTATCTGCCGGGGGGTTCAAGCCTAGCAGTACGGGCTAATGCAAGCCCAGGGAATACCTAATCTACATACATTAAATAGCCAATCGGATAGACAATGGACCCCTCAATAAGGTACCTCTACCTTCACCCCTAAAGACCGGCCTTTTTCAGGACCTTGGGAAATTATGATAGGGAGCTTTAAAGAGGTAGGTCAGGTAGGTCTGTTCGGATTCAGGTGCTTTCAACTGCGGAAAAGTAGCAAGGACAGAGCTGCGCCAACTCCCGAGGCCAGTCTCAGGGCACGCTGGAAATCAGCGCCATGCCAGCCGACGAGGCTGCAGGAAAGGTAGTACCTTTGAGGTTTGCAGGTTTCGGACTCAGGAATGAAGGTCTGAGGGGTGCAGGTTTTCAGGGTTCGAGCTCAAGGGGTTGGGGCCCAGGGGAAAACTGAGAAGATCCCGATGGTCGGGCGTGCAAAAAGACTCGGTGCATGACCGCACTCGGCGCCAAGCCTGCGCAGCCTAGACATGGCCACGGCCGACCCCTGTACGACTTGCAAGGCTGCACACGAGTCGTCCACTGAGGGGTCAAGCATTGCATCAAACGTGCTGGAAGATGTGCGCAATGCCGCGTTGCACGGGTTCCCAAAAGAGAGGTCAACAAAAAGGAACATCGAAACGTCTGAACCCCTCGACCTGGACCCCTTGAAAAATACATAAAACCCCAGACTCATGCGATACGAGCCACATGACGCAGTACTTGGCCCGGGCAAGCAGGAAATACTGCGGTGTCTGATGCTGGACGCGGTCCTGGATTTGTTGGCTTAGAGTTTTTTTCGGGCTCCAGAGTTTAGGACTTAAGAGCTCTAAAGGCGCTCAGTCAAGGTTTAATCTTGAAGGTTTTATAGGCTTTTACGACTTAGGGCGTTGAGGGTTTAGGCTTCCAAATGCTGCCAAGTTTAGGCTTTTAGGGCGCTTGCTCTGGGCCTGTCTGGGTTTATAGTTTTGAAAAGGATTTGGGAGAATTCTACCAGGGTTCCTGGAGTCTAAGGTTGCACTATGAGGGCTTGTCTATGGAAGAGTTCATCAGAAATTTAGGGCTCAGGGTATTGGGGGTAGCATTCGAGCTAGCAGGTTTCAGGGCTTACGAAAGGACGGGGAACGGTTGATTTCGAGTTTAGGGCTGCTCCAACGTCAGCTCAAAGACACGAAGAGCGACACGTGAGCACCGAAGAAACGGAAAAACTAAGTTCTATTCAGCCTAGTCTTAACCATTTTAACAAGACTAAACCCTAAACCCTAAACCTTGAACCCTAGACCGCCCTAAGCTCTAAACCCTAAGCCCGAGGAACCCCCAAAAAATAACAAAAACAAGCCCCATAGCACCCTAAACCCTAAACCCCCTAATCCCTAAACCCTAAACAAACCTCCCAATCGTCGACCGTCGGAAGCTCCAAAGCTACGCAAGAGACCCTTCGGCGGACAGCAAAAGGAGACGGTCGGGGCCTCGTCTCACCCTAAACCCTAAACCCTATAGTAGGGTTTAGGGTTTAGGGTTCTTTAGGGCTTTGGGTTTTTTAGGGTTTTTTAGGGTTTAGGGTTTAGGGTTTGTCAGGGTTCAGGGTTTAGGGTTTAGGGTTTTTTAGGGTTTAGGGTTTAGGGTTTAGGGTCTCATAGAGTTTTACACGGTCTTGCTAGGGCTGGTCTCGTGCTTTCTTGGGCTCGGGAGGCTTTGGTACGTGCTAGCGGGTGATGCCCTAAACCCTAAACCCTATAAAAAAAACCCTGAGCCCCAGCCACTCGGCTCATAACCTGTACTTAGTCTTAACAGACTTACGAAGCCTCCTGATCCTTCAATTGGGGTCTGAGTCGGACCATTTCGATTTTGGGAACCTTAAGAAAGCCATGTAGAAAAGTGTGGGAACGCTAGAATCAACCTACAGAATTAAACAAGGGAGTTTTTGTTGACTGCTAAGCCTGCTTCTACAAACGGCTCTGCATAAGTTCCATGTCACAAAAGGCGCCTTGCGCTTCACCGAAGCCCTCATTTTAGCAAAGTGTTTTCTACTTCCTAAACCCTAAACCCTAAACCCCCATCAACAAATGTTAAGGATCGCTCTGATCCTTATGTCAAGCGTATTCGGCTCAAGAACTGAGTCAACTTGGGGGGCTCGAAGCTTCGGCATGCTTGATGTGTTCATGCGTTTGCTGTCTAGGGCTTAGGGGGTTTAGGGTCTAGGGTTGTTTTTGCCCCCCAGTTTAGGGTTTAGGGGTTTAGGGGTTTAGGGTCTAGGGGTTTAGGGGTTAGGGTTCGAGGGTTTAGGGGGAATACCCAACAGAGCAAGGCTCACAACTCACCTGAAGTTGTGCATGGTCACCAATCTAATCCACATCGGCAAGTGGCATACTCGTTGCTGTAGACGGCAATAATCAGATTCCTCAGTTTCAAGCCGAGTCGTGCCACGAAGCTAACATGAGAACGAGCCTGAGTACCGCTAGCGTGTCAAAAAAAAACACCCAATTCAAACACCCACCAGTATTCCTAAAAGCAGATAGAACATACCAAGCCCAGGTCCAAGTATTAACCTTGCTTCTGCTTTTCATGGCTTGCCAACTTCCCGGGCAAAGGGATGTGCTTTTTCAATCAGGATCCCATACTGCGCATACAATGGGCATACAGTGAAACAGAACTCGACGTTCGAAACTTGGGGCCTCAATAATTAGAGTGAAGTATACTAGTACAATAGGGAGCCTTAAGGAATGGTACTACGACTTACTCAACAGGCTTCTGTATAGTATAAACCCCAAAGCCACACCACATAAACGCACTCTGCAACCCTGCTCCGCGAGCGCCCATGATATGCATCTGAAACCCGAGGTGTTTGTTATTTGATCAGGGGACTTGGTAAGTAGGGTTATAAGTGAAGCAACTACAGATTGGTCTACTCAAAACCTTGTTTCCGGTACATAAAACCCAACTTACTAAGTCCTATGACCCTCGAGTAAGGATTTGTGGGACCAAGGTGTGCTCGACCCAAACTCTAAATAAAGCGACCCGCTGAACTATAAGTGCCCTTGACTCAAGCTGCAAAGACACATGCAAACCCTTAAGCCGGGCGTTACTGGCGCACCCTTTCTGAAGGGTGTGAAATCTACTGAGTAATTAGGAACACCGCGCCCCGAAGGAACTCAATCTAATTTTAGGCATTGGCAATGTTGGACATGGCCTTTCGTGTGACTTTACGAACTCGCATACTCATACTCCCTCCTACTGTCTATTGCCCTCTCTCTCTCGCATATGTGGTCTCAGTCTAAGGTGCAGGACAATGATGTTGAAGAACGTAGACCCGATGAGGTTCACAATCATCATGAGTATGTCGTTCTTCTCAAACATGTCCTTCACGGATTGAGGCTTCGGGGCTTGGGCTCGAAGGTGGAAAAACGGGTGCTCCGATGAAACGGAGCCGTCAGTGACGGTCGAACCTTGCTTGGCTACCTCTGCCCCTACTCCTCTATTTCTTCAGGAGCTTATTATTATCACAGCTGCTGCAAGAGCAAAAACGTCACCAATTCGCTTGAGGGTATAGAAGGTTCGGGCTGGTAGTGCGATGGTGTCTAATTTAGGGGCCTAAACTATTACCTATACCACTTTGGTGGTTCCCTATTATATTTATCGTATAAAGGGCCCCAAAACCCTAGTCTAATTATTAAGGCACCTAAACCCTAAACCCTTAGAGCAGCCCTTATACCCCCTTTAAAGGAACCCTGAAAGGAACCCCAAAACCCTATTCTAATTCTTAAGGCCCCTATACTACGAGTCTTGCTTCACACAGGGCTGCAAGATCGGAGTCCCAGGGCGTCGGCAGGAAGACGACTTAGGGTTTCAATCTTCGGGAAACCGGGATTTAGGGTTAGTTTAGGGCGTTTGGGTGTGGCGTTTTAGGGTTTAGGGCTTTAGGGATTTGGGGCTTCAGGTTTTAGGGTTTCGGAATAAGAGTCACACGCGCTTTAGCAGAGGCCTCGTAAAGTCTTTTTGGGACACGCATGCGCTAAACCCTTAGCTGGTCAAGCCCTATGCCCAAAACCCTAAACCGCCTAAGCCCCTATGCCCAAAACCTGAGTCATGAGGTGTAGCATCTCCTAGATGACCTTTTTTTGGCGGAACAATACTTGTGCTGTCCAGTGAGCTAGCAAAGAAAGAGCTTCTGCTTTCCAAACCCGAACTCCTACAGCCTAAACTGGGAGGGTTTAGGGTTTAGGGACACAGAAAGAAACGCAAGAAACTAAGGACTCATCTTATGAGGCTTTTGGGCTCAAAGACCATACTACAAAAAGGCTTTTGGGCTATTTTGAGCCTTGGGGACAGCTTCTTCAAGCTTTCCCCCTGAGCCCCCACGCCCCGATCGCCTTGGGTTTCGGGCCAGGCTGGGTTGGCAGGGGCCCCAAAACCCCAAAATCTCAAAAACACCTAAAACATCCAACAACTTCAACCTTAATTCATAAAACCAACTTAATTAAATCTAAACCCTATATATGGCTAAGCCCTTTCACACCCGAAAGAGTCCTAACCCACTTGAGAAAACAGGGCTCCTCGTGAACGTTCAGGCCCAGATTATCGAGGCCATTCCCGTCATGGAAGAGCAGTCCTCTCGAGGGTTTGGGGTTCAGGTTTAGGGTTTAGGGTTTAGGGTTTAGGGTTTCACGGTTTAGGCTTTAGCGTATAGGGGAAGCCAAATACACCGTTAACCCCAAACCCGAACACCGACATCCATCCCAAATTCCAAGCGATCGTCAAACTTAGCATGGTGCCCGGGGCTACTAGGCCCTAAACCCGAAGCCCCCACCATAAACTCAACCGCACACCCTACAGCCAAAACTGACGACCCTAAGAGTGGAGCCCTCCTTTTTCATGCTACTTAGGGGACACATTAGGCCTGATAGGTTCAAGGTATCGGGATTCGGGGCTTACGGGCTTGGCCATTCCTGATTCTGATTGAAGGCTTCCTACCCTGCAAAACGAAATCGCCACGAGAGGGCAGCCAACAGAGGAGCCTTAAAGCTTGAATGGGGCTTTGCGGTGTCTTAAACAGGAATATAAGAAAGGTACACTGCTGGTAATTCAGGCCTCTTATGTGTACCAGCATTCACTGTCCGCCCAAGGTTGACACATTCTCCCGGCCCCTCTGTGGAGCAACACGGCTTCTCCACCACATGCGCTTTGAAAAGGGACTTAGAGAGGGTCGAAGGGCAGAAATGGAGCACGCCGCGGCTGGCACATCAGGGCTGACACCAGGTGGGGGTGGAGACCACTGAGGGGAGGGACCGATTACTATTACTACTATTACTACTAGTACTNNTACTACTACTACTACTACTATCTCTACTATACTACTACTACTACACGCGGAATTAGAATCTCTGGTTTTGGGAAACAGTCCCCTCACTCCTGGCAAGCAGCACCTCAGCCATAAAATCTGGCACACCTTTATCCCCATATCCTGACCCCCTTCTCATTGATTGAATTTATAGAAGCTGTGATCCTCAATAACTTTCGGCTGCATAAACGGGGGTGCCATAATCGACAAAACAACGCAAAACCAGACACACCAGTATAGCATCCCAGGCAGGGACCACTCTTTAAACAAGCATTACAATCCAACGGCTGAAAGAAACCAGGTAACACACCAAACAAACATATGCCATTCTTGAGAAGTGTCCTGAGCCAAATACGCAAGCCACGTCAGCAAACCCTAAACTCTAAACTCTAAACCCTAAACCCAAACCCGAAACCCTAAAACCTAAACCCCAAACCATTAAAAGACAACTCTCTAGACAGAAAGCAAGACTTCGACCCGAAAGCCCCTCTTAAGAACATCTCCACCAGGTGCCTCGGTAGGCGGAAGCAAGCACCCAACCATGATCCTGGCCGGGTAGGGCTTAGGTGGGTTGGTTTAGTTGTGTGTTTCCTGTTTTTGTTTAGGGTTTAGGGTTTGGGGTTTAGGGTTTAGGGTTTTTGTGGGCTCCTTGCTTTAGGGTTTTGGGTTTAGTCCCAGGAGCCTGGGCAACCTGGGACTCATTACCTGCAACAAATGGGGAGGGAGAAGAGCTGAATAATGCAGGGGCCTAAATAACTACCAATACTTGTTTTTTTGTTTTTTTTTGTTGGGGGGGGCGTCCTTAAAATAAATATAGTATCATGGGCACCAAAACCCTTTTCTAAATATTAAGGTCCCCACATTAGGTGGGTTGGTTTAGTTGTTAGGTTTCTTTTTTTTTTTTTTGTGGGCTCCCTGCTTTAGGGTTTTGGGCTTATGGCTGCAACTTGGGTTCAAGTTATTTTGGGGTATAGTTTTCTAAAGCTTTCTATATAGGCTGTCTATAATGTTCTTTCAAAGCAAGCAGCTCTCAGGACTTTGAGTTCGCGTGGGCTTTCAGGGTTTAGGGCGGAAGTTCCGGGTCTGAGGCTTAAGGCTTAGGGTTTAGGGCTTAAGGCATGTTGGGTGTCGGGCTTGCAGGCTGTAGGTCTTGAGGTTTTAAAGTTTGGAATGCAGGGTTAGGGCTTCAGGTCCGCTGGCTGTGTAAAGGATCACAAGGGTATTATATTTGGGCTTCCTTCCAGAGGGCCGGCTAATTAGAATAGGGTTTTGGGGGTGTATGATACTTTTTTTATGACAAGGAACCCCCACCCTAAACCCTAAACCCTAAACTATTATATAGGTATTTCTTTAGGCCCCTACATTAAACCCTCAGAGCCTGTAGGGCTGCAGGGACATGGCCCTGAGTATGGCTTCCGGGCTCCACGTTCTCTTCTTTGGGAGTTGAGGACTCCGTAAGATTGAGGTTTTGGGGTTTAGGGTTTTAGGGTTGAGGGTTTAGGGCTTAGTGCCTGGACGGCACCGAAAGCTATTCTTGCTCAGGGAACTTACTGTTGCAGACATCGACAACTAGCACCAGTACCAACACCGGGTTCAGGTGTAAAGCAACCCTAAACTCCAAACCGCCGTAGCTGCCCTGAACCTTGCCTTCCCCTTCGCCACAATGAGAAATGCCAGTGAGAACGACGCGAAGATCATCAAGGTGATGACCTCCAAATGCCAGTGAAGATTTAGGCTGCAGGGCTCTGGCCTCAACTTATCTAAAGCCTGTTCCCGTGAAGCATCCCTCCATACTTGAATTTTGCAAGGCTCTGGTATGGTGCTCAGTGCTTAGCTGCACATCCGTAGCTCCAGGTGAACACCAGGTATGCTTGACTTTATGGGCTATGGATATTCGGAATCCAAAGCTGCCGTTGTTTTAACACAGGTTCCACCTCCAGATCACTATGTACGAGTCTTAAACCCTCGCGCCATAATATAAAGGGTCTTGATCATCAGAACTCCGCTTGCGGGTTCAGGGTTTCGGGTTTTCGAGGGTTCGGGGCTTCGGGTTTAAACGGCTAGGACTGGCAGGCAGCACGTGACCTGACTGCATGTTGCGGTTGTCTTGAAGGTCACAGTAGGCTCAACTGCACATGAATGCGCCAGATCTCTTCCAGCTGGAACTGGTGCCATATTAAAATGATCATCCTGAAACGAGGTCTCACCACGAAACGAAATTTTTCTGGCCCGTTCAGCTCAGCCCCCTCGAACTTGCGAATGATTGTACCAGACCAGCATGCGAAACGAAAGCCATGTGGACAGGAGCGCTGTACTGGTCTGAACCCACACAGCAGGGTCTTGAGGCCCATCATGCTGTAGTGATGTAGTGATTAGCACCAATTCAGATTACTGGTGGACGAAACCTACAGCCTACCTGGCTTAACATGGTGGGAGTATATAGGCAGCCTAACTAAAAGGAGTACAAGGCCATTGAGAAGTCATACATCCTATTGTTCCATCTGGAAGTGGCCGCTTGGTGCCGGACAATCATCTGCTTTGTCGCCGCACCAAGCAAAGAGCCTCAGCTTCTCGCCGCAAGGGCCACGCTTGGCAGCAGATGACTCAGGACTCAGGCCTGTAGGGCTTAAAAAGCTTTAGAAGTAAAAACACCCTAAGCCCTAAGACTGTATGTGCGCTGCGGATGGGGCCATCGAGTGCTGAGGGTCGTCGGCTTTTTCGGTGTAGTCGCAGCTCTTACGGGATAGTGTTGATCATCGCAATGGAAACCCCTCAATCCTGGACCCATGCACCAAGCCCAAACTGTTCTTGTTTGCGACCAACATATTAGGTGTACTCAGCTTCACAGTGTTCATTGCAATGAAGTAGAGCCTTCTCATGTTGATCAATTCTGGCATGGACGCTCTGACAAGCGATCCCGATTTCCAGAGCGCAGTTCTACATCAACGTTTCCCTTCCCTTCAAGGGACATGAGTTGTATTAATTTAGTAATCTTTAAAAAGGACTTCCAGATATGAAGAGTATCTCAGCTGATTCTTATAGCCCAGCCCCTAAACCCCAAAACCCTAAACCCCTAAACACCTAAGCCGCTAAACCCGAACCCTGAACAGTTCATTTTAGCAACCCTCGAATCAATGAGCCTACTCGGGCGCTGTTCAAAGCCCAAGAGTCTCCCATTGAAAATGAGCCCTACCCTACGGTTGTCTTAGGGTTTAGGGTTTAGGTTTTCGGGCCGGTTTAGGGTATAGGCTTATAAGGGCCCCAAACCTAAAACCCCAAACATTGCTTAGAACACAAACCTTCCAGATTGAGCGCTGGAGATGGCGTGGATGCGAACGCCGCTGGTGTGGAGTCTCGCCCTCAGTTGTCCGAGATTTTTTGTTTCCCTCGAATGTGTAATTAAAGGCGTGGGTGTCTGCAGGTTAGAGAGCGGTCTGTAAGAGCCCCGTCTAATCATCAGGGTTTCAACGAGAACGGCCCCCTGTCTAGATCTCAGCCTGTCCACCGGTATGGCTAGAGTATAGGGAGGGTTTGGGTTGGGAGTTGTAGGGTCTTGTATTAGCATGCTTATGTTGGCGTTGTCTTGCCACTGCCGATGGGTCTGCAGATTCAGGAAACCCTAAGCCCTAAACCCTAAACCGTAAACCCTGTCCCTGTCGAACGATTCCGATGCCGCGCCTGGCCTGTTGAGCCAGACATGCCTGGAAGAAGGCCTGTTTAGGGTTTAGGGTTTAGGATTGGCTCGCTGCACCGCCAAGATGCATGTAAATGCAAAGCCAGCTCTTTAGCAGAACGCAGCCCACCATCAGCACCACCTCGAAATGCTGCTCACAACTTGAATATGCAAGTGCCCGACGGCCCTGATATACGGGCCTTCATGAATACGTATAGAGTAGCTTTTTCCGGTGTATTTTATGACCAGGGAACCTTAAGGACTATAGTAGTACAAACTACTCAGGCCTTTACATTTGTTTGAAAAATATCCAGTGGAGCTCCTGCGCACTGCCGCTCTTAGCAAAGAGGCTTGGACAAAAAGCCTGAGTAGGAACACATACAAGCCATAAAAGTCAGTACGTCGGTGGAGGTTTGAGGACTATTGCGTCAAGCTTCCGTCGAAATCAGGGAAGTGACACATTAGAAGCTTTGCCTGCTATGCACGCCCCAGAGTCTGAGACAGCACACTCCATTCCAACAAACTCATGCCATCAAAGACATCATCCAAAGATCCCTTAGCTCCTGAAGCAAGAAGCGTTGGAACTATTATCAGCCCTTCGGCACTCTTCCCAATCACCGATGTGTGACTTCATGCGCGCGAGTTGAGTTTGTAGGTGTAGCGGTAGCCCTAACATCCCTACAGAGTATCATCATAACGTACCTCCAGCCTTCTTCTAGGTTATATACGGGGTACCACAATCAGAATGGGGCTTTGGGCTATAGCTACCATAGTTAAAATAAGGAGCCCTTAGCAAATATATATATATATATATGTATGTATACACGTGTATATATGTCTATATATACATATATCACTCTTAATAATCATAATAACAATAAGAAGAAGAATGATACCTGGGCTCCTCGTTTCGATGCGAAGCCCCACATCGGAAGCCCTGAACAACTGAACAATGAGGAGCGTCTCTAAAGTTTGCCAGGCACGATTTTTAGGGTCTATGGTTTAGGAGTTTACGGTTTAGCATCTGGGGCTTAGGAGACTCGATACCCTAAACTTTGACTCCCTGGACTCTTTTAAACTCGATAACCGCGGAAACTCAATCCCTGCCACACCTCCTGGGAGTGTGGGAGAAGCTGCTGCTGGCTGATGGCACCTCTGAAAATCAGGGATTCGGTGTTCACACTCGGGTCATGGGACATTCTTAGTCAGGTACAGCTCGAAACTCAAGTAGGATGATCGAGTGAACTTACAACTCTACTGCATAAGCTACACACACGTCCCCTGCTCCTGGAAGCAAGGATTTCGGCGCCTATCCTCGACGAGGCCAGGCATACAGGCAAACCCTTGAGATTGAGCGTACTATAGGGTCATGGTGTATATTACAAGAGGTAAGGATTACTGCTATGGAAAAGTCCGGCCTCGGTAGTGTAGGGGCCTTGAGAATTAGAATATAGGGATTTGGGGGTTCCTTACTATAGTTATCGTATCATTTGCCTCCAAACCCCATTCTACCTAAGGCCCCTATAGTAGTAGGTTCACGCATGTCAGGTGCCTGCCTGCAATTCGCTCACATGAAGCCCCGCATGGACAAATGCAAGAAAGAGGCGGCACAGGGCTCCTACAACCCCTGCGCAAAGCCCAGTTCTACAGGAACCTACAGGTGGGGAGTTTAGGGTACATAGGGCTTCTATACGGCTTCTATAAGGTATATAGACTTTCTATAAGGCTCCTATAACGGTAACTGCCCACCTGAAAATGTCCTTGACTGTTTACGGTTTAGGGCTTAACGCTAAGCCGCCAAAACCAAAACACAACTTGAACCCTAGATGGGTCAAAAGTAACTCCGTGGTTCCTCACTACCCCCTGAATACAAACTTAAAACAAGGGTAGGAAGCATAACCCAAAATACACAAGGCAAGCGTAGATTCTATAGGCGAAGCTTGGTCATGAGAGTCCACGGTGACATGCTGCCACTCGATGAAGTATCATACCGAATCGCGTAACAGTCATCCCCGAACCCTAAACCTGGAGGTTGAGAGGGTATCAAAATTTACGGGTTAGTGTTATGTTGTTTTGTTTTTGTTTTTTGTGTTGTCTTTTGTTATTTTGTGAGGGTGGATGAGTGCTGTTCGCGATTAGTTTAGACCGAAGGAAAGCCGGGCCCTGACACTTCTCGTTCAGTACAATTCCTAAGGCTTATTGCTTAACTGAGGTTTCAAGTAACCGAGGAGGAAATATAAATTGGCTTTCTCTAATGGTTCCTTTAAGGAACAAGTTCCAAACAAAAACAATATCGGATGGTACTCCAGAACCAAGAGCTGACTCAGTCAAGCAGAACACGCAGTAGCAAGTTGGGGATTCGGCTTTCGGCTTCAGGGTAAGTTAGTTACTATAGGGGCCTGAACAACTAGAATAGGGTTTTGGGGTAGACTATACTGTAGTTATAACAAGGACCCCCAAAAAAAAATGGTATTGGTAGGTATTTAGGCCCATACATTACCGACAGATTATGGACCCCAACATTACCCGGCAATGGAAAACTCTTAGGGTCAGGCAGAGCTTCAGCGAACGATTTCCGCAAATAAAACTGCAGCCCAGCGAATGGCGAAATATACAAAAAAACACTGTTGTAGGAACTCTACGTCGGAAGTATCTCAGCAGGCACTTGACATTCTTTCGGGGGCCAAAAACATCCATAGACGGGGAGGAGCTGGACGTTACGTTGCAAACTTGCCAACGAAGGCTCTTTTGGGGTTTAGGGTTTAGGGGCAAAGCTTCAGCCCAAGACCCCAAACCCGACCCAGACCCTCCATGTAGCCGTTCTTGGACCCTAAACATATACCACTAGAAACCATGTATCCCTGTTTAAGGCCACAGTGGGCAGTCTCTAAACGCCCGAGGAGCCGTAAGTAAACACAACCTGAATCATGGCCAGCGCCAGCCTCGGGGCACTTTTCAGATCAGGGTTTTCCTACAGCCCCCTTTGCTTCGGCGCGTGAAGGATAGCTGCGTGCTCTGGGATTGACATTTACCATAATTTACCCCGCTTGGTGTCGGGGAGACAACGACAACTCGACAAAGCTCTAAGCTGTGATGGCCCCATGGCCAATGGCAACGGAGCCTACTACGAATCTCCAAGCCCGAAGAAAGTCTGCCAGCACTGTGACAACTTTGACAACTGCGGCCGTAGAACCCTTGCGGGACCCCGTATGACCCTCACAGTACCCCTGTACCGTGAAGAAGCCCTAAACCCTCAACCCTAAAGGAAAGCAGACAGATAGTTTACACCTGGAGGTTGCAGCTCCCTCCGTTTGAACGGGACGTCCTGCAAGGTTCATGTATGTGCTTCACAAAGGAGTATTTTGGAGGAGGGAGGGGGAGGGAGGGAGGGAGGGAGGGATTACAGGGTTTACATGATCTTTTGTTGGCTTTACTTACCAGTCCGTTTGTCGGGATGTGTTTGTTAAGCAGGCCTTGAAAGAGCTGCAGGGGAAGAGAAGCTTCCATGGATGAGGAATGAGGAAATGGACAAAGGTATAGGATAAAAGGAGACAAGCGGCAGCATGGCACGATGACTGAGCAGTGGACATGCTATGTGGCTATGCTAAATGCAACGGTACATGGGAAGAGAGGAAAGCAGCAACACCATCATCCCCCAAACGTATTACGAATCGAATGGTGGAACAGGTAGCACAATGTGGAAGTCTTTTGTGTTGCAACTGGCGAGCCTCTACTGTACTAGCAAGGTAGGCTACAAGCAGACGGACAGCAGGGCGTGGAATTCAAACAGGGCGGCTGTGCTGTCCAAACAAACCACGTACTTGTGGTCATCGCACGGAAGCACTAGTATGAATGCTGAAGCGGAAGCTCAAGAGTATTGCACTGAAGAAAGCTTGGTGGCGTTGGCATGCACCAGGTTGTGATCAACTTGGATCGGTAGTCCCACATACTTCCTTAGCATGTGATGGTAAGGGTCTGCAGCAAAGGCCACCATTTTGGAAGATAGGAAAGGGAAGTGAAATGACATCTACTCATCATGTCGTTACAGAATATGCTACAACACTACATATACCAACGCTCCATCACGTCTGGCTTCTACTCTAAAAAAGTTCGGGTTGGGGGTTAAGGGCCTGCTTACAGGACACGTGCGACTTGGGTCATTCAATTTTTTGTCACAGGACCTTTGCCGGAGCCTTCGTCGGGGATCGTGCGTCGGGCTCGGGTTTGCATTCAATCTAACGTGGCCCCTTGCCATGCGATTCGCAACTATGAAAGCCCCTCTTGCAGCCTGCATGCAAGGTTTCGGCATGATTCGCGGAGCCTCGCGGGGAGATCGAAATTTCACTCTCACACATTCGATCGCTCGGCCGCACATGGGAATCCCTGCACCGACAATCCATAATTTGGGACCCCCTACACACGATTCTGTTGAATAATGTTGTCAAGCAATGTAGCGGAAGATCTTCGCGGGACAGCAGGGAACTGCTGCGATGACATCCAAAATAAGCAACAAACCATGTGGGTAGTGCTCTAATATAGGGTCCCTTTTCAGATGCCCCGAATAGTACGGCACCTTTAAAAACACTAAAAGGGACCCTAATTTAGACAATCACCCATGTGCATCTGCATCGGCTGACCCCCTGATTGCGGAGGCCACTCTCGAAATCAAACCACCCGATATATTCAGGAGACCAGCCGGCGAATCCGACAAGTTCCTGCCTTATCCATACTAATCACTCTACAACTCCCATAGCATAAATTAGTATGCCTATAGAAGCGTAGGAATTTGTTCGGGGGCAACAGGCACTTGAAACTTTCGAGTTTCCTGCTGTCTGTCTTCCCTTAGCGTTAGCCCTGTAAGACCGAAAACACTAAACACAAAATCTCTGAGCCCGAAGATCTAGAAACCCTCAAACCCACCAAGCATCGCATCGTGAAGTCTTGGTGGGCAGATCTTTTCTTGTGCCAATTGTAGCCCAGAATGCCCAGCCTGAGATCTTGGACAAGACGTGGGATGCGGGCTCGAAGAATTCAGGGTTTATGGGCTTCGGGCGAAGGTTGTGGTCTAAGGTTTCTTGTGAATGTTGTTGTTGTTGACCTCCTGCCTTTCCGACTGCTCAACTAGCCACTACTTCACGGTCAGATTGCCCGCAGACGCGGAGACGGGAAAACCGGCGGTACAATACCTGCCTAAATAGAACTCGCAGCATGCGAACGCACCCTCGCCCTATTACCTGCTGGTCACGCCGAATAATAATGTCATCGCGCCACCTGCGACTGCTCCGTCACGACAATGCATTGGGCCAGCAACAGACCCCTACCTCAGGGGCATGTCGCCTGATCACCTCAAGGTCATCCACCTCACTAGGCATCCAAGCTGGCACAACGCGTGGTAGCTGGTAGTCACTGCAAGTTATGGCCTTGCTCATTCAGCTCCCACAATGTTTGCAACTGCCAGCTACTCGAGGTTGGACCGAACGCTCAACACTTAAGTCTTGAGTACTGAACCAGGACGTGATGGACCCCTTCTAGAGACCCTATTTGACAGCACGTTTTTCCGTAAGGATTTATGGTGTAGGGTTGCTCTGGGGCCTGTGAAGCTGCTGAGGCAAAAGTGGAACGAAGTCTCTCGCCGAATCTAAAGTCCGAGAAATGTGGTAAGAGTAAGCTTTAGAATGGGTGGAGGTCGTTGGGCTTCAGGGTATAGGATTTGGGGTTCAGGGTCTAGGGTTCAGCGCCTTAGGGCTTAGGGGTTTCGGGTTTAGTGGGGGTTTACGTAGGGCTTGGTACTTGGCAGTGCAGGGATTTAGAGCTCAGGACTCAGAAGTGAAAGCTCTTACAAATGCTGCGGTGCATCCGACGGACGAGTATGCAACCAACACCCTCGCCACCCCTAAACCTTATAAGCCCTATAAACCCTGGAGACTCTAAAACCTTCAAGACCACGAAAGCCCCTAAAAAAAAACCCTTATAAACCCTAAACCCTACACCCTAAACCCTAAACCGCCACAAGAATTCCGGCTAAGATGCTGGATCATCTCCCGCAGGCCGCCACCGGTCATGATGATCCATAACCTGGTAGAACGAACCCTAACCCTCCAGGTACCTACTATATAGGGCCTTAGGGGCTCTAGTACCCTATATGGTAGGTAACTGGGGGGGTTAGGGGAAGCTTTGTGTCCCAAGGCATCAGAGCAGACACCAAAACACACAAAAGAACAACTCTCCACACATGTCATCCGTCGAGAGCAGACCGTTTCTTGTGTTGGCTTGATCTTACGAAAAGGTTGAGATTTTGTCGCGGCTTATTGCAAATATGCAAGATGCTGGGATTGCAGGACTTCTTGAGGCTAAACCGGAAACACGAAGACTAAACCTTCCGACAAGAACGAAGTCCTTCGAAGGTAAGGGAGGCGCCTCTTCAAGAGTCATGGAACCTAATCAAAACAGTCTGGTCAAGTTCTTATGAAGGAGCCGTTGATAATCCTGGTTTCAGGAGCATTGAGCTCTCTTGGAAGGTGCAGCCCTGAAATAGTGAAACAACTGAAAAGTCTACAGTACTACAGCAGGACATGCCATCAAGAACCTACGGGCTGAAACGGTAGGCGTGCAGCACCGAGCCCCCTCTGTCTGTGTCACTCTCCCCTCCCCTCCTATTCTCATGTCTTCCTCTCGAGCAGTCGTTCCGCCACTGAAGCAACCGGTCCACTCCTGCATAACAACTCCCTAAACCCTAAACCGTCAATTTTAGCCACTACGCCCCAAACTGCCATCTTGAGAGCTTCTTAAACCGCTAAACACTGGGGTCCGACCCCTCGTTCAGGCCAAAGCTAGTTTGTCGATGCGAGAATCATGCAGGGAACGAGTAAGGGGTTTTCGTGAAACTTTTCAATGCTTAAGACAACGAGAGTTGTGTTTCTGTAGTGTGTTAACTTGCTTCCTCTCCCTTTGCTGCATACCAGCACTCACGCATCCATCATCGCCACACGCTAGCAAAAACATATCCGAGACCTGCCTACCTGCACGTAATATGTGTGCAGACATGTAGGCATGCACAACTCCACAAGACACGTGAACAACTAGTTCAAGGGAAAGTCGTGCTGGAACACCCCTACACCCTAAGCCCCAAGACCCTAAAGCCTAATCTTCCTTTTTGCATCCAGGCCTATTGCGACTGCCGGGTACCCTGAAGAAAAAGGCCAGGCAAAGCTGCAGCCTAAACTTCCTAAACCCCTAAACAATACACCTTGATTAGAGTCAGGCTGCCCAGCGCGGATGGAGCTGTGATCTTCGTGCATGTGCCTGCAAGGTATGAGGCCGTGCACTCTTTCGGGGTTAGGGTTTAGGGTTTAGGGTGGCCTAACTCTAATTTAAGCTTGTAAGCTGAGGGAGTGAGGGCTTGTTGAACCCAAACGCATCAAACCTGTCGAACCTCCGGCGTGTCTAATGTAGGGGCCTTAACAATTAGACTAGGGTGTTGGGGCCCATTATACTACACTTATAATAAGGA